TACTTGGGCTTTTGGATAAATTTCCGAAAATTTAAAAGCCCTACAAATCGATTTGTAGGGCTTTTAACATGAAATTGGTTGCAAAATCCAGTTACCCATTGCATATAACACATGTAGGTGTTGAAATTACCTGAAAAAATCGAAGCCCAAGCAAGAAATCGGTTGATTTCGATATTTTTCGAAAAAAAAAAAATCTGCAAATTTTGGAATGGGGTGGTTTTGGAGAGAATTTAGAATTTTAGGGGTTTTAGAGAGATAAACTGTTTTTTACTTTGAACGGTAAATAGCAGTTATTAAACCGTAAAGAGCATTTTCTTAAAAGGAAAGACAGGCAATAAAAAGACGGAAAAGCCCCTACTAAAATTGTTCCAATACAACTTAGGACTAGCATTACTTTTTTTTTTTTTTTTTTTTAAGAAATCCATTAAACAATTTAATAATTTGCCTATTTATATACCATTCCAATTTGTACAAAAATACTTTTAATTACAATTTATGTATGATGAATAGGGGCGCTCGTGAACTCGATGATCCGACTCGACAAAAATTCAAAGTCGAGCTCGGGTCCTTCGAGCACGTGCTCGAGCTCGAGCAAGATTACAATTGTTCGCACCTCACGAGCCGGCTTGCGAGGTTCTTATTTATTTATTTTTCATTTAAATAATATAAATAATATTAAAAAAATAATTAACTAAAATTAAAAATAACATATACAAGTCATATAAATAATTTATATTGATAAAAGAAAATTAATATTAATATAAAAAAAAAAATTAAATATTAACAAAATGAGCTGAGCTGGGGCTCAATGACTCCACTTGAGCTTGAGTTTGAGCCCATAAAATGAAAACTCGATGAGCTTGCAAATTTTGGTATGAGCTTGGGCTATTGAGCCTATAAAATGAAAACTCGACGAGCTTGAGCTCGAACTCGAGCTTGCAAATTTTAGTATGAGCTTGAGCGTTTGAGCCTATAAAATGAAAACTCAATGAGCTTAAACTCGAGCTCGAACTTGCAAAATTTTAACATGAGCTTGAGCCTAAAAATTCCGACAAGCTGACCTCGTTTACACCCCTATAAATTATAAATTAGTTGATTAAAACAGATTTTTAGAATACTTACAAATACCATAGATGTTTATACATAAATAAATATATTAAACATGTATTCACAATCACTAACTTCAACTTTAAAATAAAAGAAATCCGAACCCCACCAAAATCGAGTTGATATTTATTTATTAGGGTAAATCACAACCACGCCTGAGGTATGATCAAATTACAAAAAAAATCCATCATATTTGGGTATTACAACCACCCCTAAACTATAAATCTTCTTACACGTTTACTTTTGCGGTGTCAAATTTAGTGGAAACTTCTAGATTACATGTAATATTCTCAATTTTGTACCCGTTTTATTTCATTCGAGCTCCACATTTTGAAGTAAGGTGATCATAAGATATGTTTCTTGGCTTGTATGTCTCTGATTGTGGTGCATTATAAACTGCATTTTTGCACAAAACGAGTACAAACTAGAGAACATTCCACGTAATAGAGAAGATTATGTTGATTTTGACACCATAAGGGTGGACGTGTAAGAAGATTCATAGTTGAGGGGTAGTTGTAATTATCGAAACATGAGGGGTTTTTTTCGTAATTAGACCATACCTAAGGGGAATGATTGTAATTTAACCTATTTATTATTATTATTTTTTATTTTGTTTTTGTATTAAATAAAATTTAAGTTAATAATTTAGGCCCATCTTGCCAATTGTGCAATTTTTGAAGTTGGAGATATATAAATAGTAAATACACGTGAGGCCCAAAACCTTGCTCAAAGGTTTTAGGAGGGTTTATAGTCGGCAACTACCAATTCGAATTACTCCCCCAAATTTCTCACATTTTCTTAATTACACAGTAAAAATATAAACAACAACTGATGAAATCGGCGAATCAACAATCAACTCCGGCGATTCGGTTCAACTCCCGTCCCACCATTTGTGCCGATCAAATTTTTCTTGGCTCGATTTGATGTACAGCAGCAAAACCCCCATTTCCACCACCTTCAAAATCGGCGGTTCTAGAAACCCTAATCACAACCCACGCAGTAGTAGTAATAGCTCCACCGTGATGTGGAAAAGCATCGCCAAGAGAATCAGCTCAAAAACCCTGTTGAATCGGTGCCCCAATTCTCGAAGATTCCTCGCATTTGCCCAAGATTCTGTTTTTCCCGACAAATTCAAGCTCAGAAAACCGCTGTTCGATAATTCTCGCTCCGATTCTAATATTTATACCTCTACCCATGATGAATTCATGATGTTTTCGAGCAGGAATCAAATGAATGTCACTGGGTTGAGCTTTAAAAGCTACGCCACTGTAGCGGAAGCAGTCGAAGTAGCCGGGTCCCACACCGATTTTGAGGACGACAACAATAGTAATAGTAATAATAATAATATTAATAATAGTAACAATGTTGATGATGAATTTCAAGAACTGTTGAACGAAGTTCGGAAAGAGGAGAAACGGCAGTGGAGGCAAAACCGGAGGAGCGGGAAAGGAATGGGGAACGAAAAGTTCAAAGCCCTTCGAAGGAGGCAAGTGAAAATCGAGACCGAGGCGTGGGAACAAGCTGCGAAGGAGTACAGGGAGCTGTTGAACGATATGTGCGAGCAGAAGCTGGCTCCGAATTTGCCGTACATGAAGTCGTTGTTTCTCGGGTGGTTCGAGCCGTTGAGGAACAAGATTGAAGAGGAGCAAGAGTTCATTAGGAAAGGGAAGAGTAAGGCTTCGTATGCTAATTACTTCGATCTTTTGCCGGCCGATATGATGGCTGTTATTACAATGCATAAGCTTATGGCGCTGCTAATGACTGGGGAGCATGGTTGCGCGAGGGTCGTTGCGGCTGCTTGCGTTATAGGTGATGCGATCGAGCAGGAGGTTGGTTAGTAATTATTATGCTTAGCCCATTTATTTTATTAATCTTCATAATCACTCGACGAACTTGCGTATTATAAGAAAAAAACGAAGACTATGAGATGTTAAAATCCGTGTCATTGAAGGCAAAATTTGAATTGGAATTGGAATATAGCATAGCGAGATTTTCCCCGCCCCGTTGAAAATTTGACAAATTGAAATGTGCTTTGGAAGAAGACAGATGCATAGGTATTATCGAACTTTTTTTTGGGGGTTTAATCGTTGAAATAGAACCTATAGTATGATGCCTTGAGTGTTTACTGCTTTTTTTAGCAATATTACACATAATCTTATTTACGACTGTATGTCACTTGAATTGCTCCGTATATTTTATTTATTTATTTATTTTTTATTTTATGATGGATAAGGTGAGAATACACTATTTCTTGGAGAAAACTAAGAAGAAAAAAGTCACGAAAGATGCAGAAACCGAAGGAGATAAACCCGATGAAAATATCCAAGAACAAGCAAAATTACGAGAAAAAGTCACTAATTTGATGAAAAAGCAAAAGCTGCGAGCCGTGAGGCAAATAGTGAACAGACAAATCGAATCTCAAGCGTGGGGCCAAGATGCTAAAGCAAAGGTCCGATTTTTATTTTATTTTTTTTATTAATTGCATCAAATTTATGTCTCTAAAAATATCATCTAACAGTGCTGTCTAAATTTTTTAACCTTTCAGGTTGGAAGTCGTCTCATTGAATTGATTATACAAACAGCCTATATACAGCCCCCCGCCAGTCAATCTGCTGAGGGCCCACCAGATATTAAACCTGCATTTTTACACACTTTCAAAACTGTAGCAAAAGAAATAAAGTAAAAATCGATACTTCCCCAGTTCCTATTCCATCTCTAGTTGTTTATTTTCTGTTATGTCATCGTCTTTTACTAGCTTTCTTTATTCACAGGAGCAATAGCAGAAGATATGGTGTTATCCAATGTGACCCTCTTGTTCGTAAAGGCCTCGAAAGAACTGTGAGTTTGATATCTGTGCTCCCTTAGCCTCTTTCTAAAGTTCAAAATCAATAACGAACAAGGGCTAAAACGTAAATTCAGAAGTTGAACAAAATCTTGGTCACTTAATTTTTATTTTTTTGACGTAATATTATTTTACAGGCCAGACACATGGTCATCCCATATATGCCAATGCTGGTTCCTCCAGTCAAGTGGACAGGGTACAGCAACTCTTTTTTTTTTGTTTTTTTAATTTATTTTATTTTATGGTACAGTAACTATATTATGTAGCTTAGAATGTTATCGAACTCCCAATGAGACGAGGTTTTGTAATTTGTTGGTGCCTAGCAACTGATTGATTATGGATATTTTCTTGTTAGGTATGACAAAGGTGCATATTTATATTTGCCTTCATATGTAATGCGCACGCATGGAGCACGCCAGCAACGTGATACAGTAAAGAGGGCACCTAGGGAACAATTGAAACCGGTGTTTGAGGTTTGATTTTTTTTTTTTAATATATATAATTCTAGGTTTTGATAACGAGATGTGAAGGTATATATTACTATATAAAATTACAAAATTAAATCTATTGTTTATAGGCATTGGATACTCTTGGAAGCACGAAATGGAGAGTGAATAAGAGAGTACTTAGCATCATTGACAGAATATGGGCTAGTGGGGGTCGTCTTGGAGACTTGGTTGACCGAGATGATGTATGTTAATTTAATTTAGGTCTTAATTTCTTATCCTATTTTCCTTAATACCAGATAAAGTTTCTTTCGAGTCAAAGTTAATTTTTTCACTATGAAATGAAATGTTCTGTATTTTTCCGCAGATCCTTCTGCCAGAGCAGCCAGATACAGAAGATGAATCGTTACTCCAGAAGTGGAAATGGAAAGTCAAATCCATCAAGAAAGAAAATAGCGAGCGGCATTCACAACGTTGTGATACAGAGCTCAAACTTGCTGTAAGATCTATTTTTCCTTATTCTCATCTCTTATTTGCAGTGACGGAGCGAGTATAGAGTCACCCCCACCCCCCTACCCCACCCTCTTCTAAAATAGATAGTTTTGTGTGTAAATATTTGTTTTTTTCCCCCACACAGTAGAGTAGTATTTTAGATATTCTCATCTATCAATGGTGTCGTATTGATAGGTTGCACGGAAAATGAAAGAGGAAGAAGGGTTTTTTTACCCACATAACGTTGATTTCCGTGGCCGTGCGTACCCCATGCACCCTCACTTGAACCATTTGGGCTCGGATATTTGTAGAGGAATCCTCGAATTTTCTGAAGGAAAACCGCTTGGAAAATCAGGATTGCGTTGGCTTAAAATTCACGTGGCGAATTTATTTGCCAATGGTGTGGACAAATTATCTCACGAGGGCCGAATTTGCTTCATCGAGAATCACTTGGACGATGTGTTCGATTCTGCAGATAGACCGCTTGAAGGAAAACGGTGGTGGTTGAATGCAGAAGATCCGTTTCAGTGTTTAGCGGCGTGTATCAATCTTGTTGAAGCTCTTCGAAATCCTTCTCCTGAAACTACAATCTCGCATATTCCGGTGCACCAGGTATTTCTTTTTGAATACCATATAGTTTCTTTAAATCTTCAACTCGGAAGTGGAAAACTTATTCCAATTCCGTTCCTGAAAACTTCGGAAACTCAGAAAGTCGAATGGACAAACGTTTTCCAAAGCGATTTTTTTTGGATCAGAATCGATGGAATTCGGAAATTCAAACTTTCTGGTCACCTATAATACCAAAAAACATAACATTATTGATATTATAAGTGTAATTATTGGAAATTAAAATTGGATCGGAAATTGGAGTCGAGTATATATTCCAAATCCATTCCAAAAAAATCGAAAAAATCAGAATGAAGAATATTGTTTCAAAATCGGAAGTTTTTTTATTGGAATCGGCGAAATTCGAAATTTCTGTCCCAAACTCCACCACTAAATACGGGTCGTTTGTAATAATTTAGTAGGACTTCTGTTCTTCATGACTGTAGTCTGTAGGTATTATAGTCACTTTATCCGTGCATTAATATTAATTATTTCTATTTTGTCTTTTTGTAGGATGGTTCCTGCAATGGCTTACAGCACTATGCTGCCCTTGGTAGAGACAAGGTGAGCTTCTTCCATTTCTTTGTCAACACTCAACAGTCAACACTAATTTTAAACGGTATCAACACCTGAAATATACTTGTTGTAGTTTCGGGAGTGGAGATGTAGTAGGTAAAAATATCTTGAATTAAATATTTAAACGTAGTAAAAGTTTAGTTATACTTAAGCGGAGAAAGATAATCGTGAAATGTTAATAAATTCAATGTAAATAAATTCAACCCACTTTAGACATTTTCCGTTTGATATTTTCATGTTTCGAGTGTTTTATGTATTGTAATCGAATGTTCTTCTATCCCTTTTACATGCTATAGCATTTGTTCTTTATTTTTTTTTTTTTATTCTTTTTGTCTGAGTCTATCTTTTTGCAATCACTAATTTAGCTAGGAGCAGCTGCTGTAAACTTGGTTGCTGGAGAAAAGCCCGCTGACGTTTACTCGGGAATAGCTGCCAGGTAGCTATTTTTCTCATACTAGAGCTTGTTTATTGTTAATATATTAAAAAAAGAAAACGAAAAAAAGAATTATCTCGGAGGCCATGTAAGATTAGTTGCTAAAAAAAACCTAAAGAAAGTAAAGCCGAACGGTTGTAGAATATATTAATTTGAAGTATAGCTGGGGTGGTATTCACTTTAGCCTTATTTTTCGGTCCTGATTTTTGTCCTCGCGGAAGATGATTGTTTCTTCAAATTGATCTGATTCCACAAGTAAAACACATGTACTGTCGATTAAGATTAGATGAAAATCTGGACTGGCGTATGAGATTTTTGAAATGTACGCATAATATCTAGGCTTGTGGTCTTTGCTAGTTTCTTGATCATGCTTTCATTCAGGGTTCTTGATATCATGAAGGAAGATGCCCAAAAGGATCCTTCAGTATGCCCCGATGCTTTGCATGCAAGACTATTGATCAATCAGGTTCGTTTTCAATACACAGCATTGTCAAATCGATTCTTTACTCGCCCTAAACACTTAATCGAGCAATTAATACGTCTGTGATGCTTTAGTTCTGATAAGCAAATGATGTTTAGGTGGACCGAAAGTTGGTTAAACAGACTGTGATGACATCGGTGTATGGTGTGACATATATCGGTGCTCGAGATCAAATAAAGAGAAGATTAAAAGAACGTGATGCCTTTGGGGACGAGACACAGATATTTGGTGCAGCTTGTTATGCAGCTAAAGTAAGCGTAATCTTGCATGCAAAATATAAGTTATTTATAATCAATTATATTCGTCAATGAAGTTAATCGGCTTATTCAATGATGGAACTAATTATCATTCTTAGGCCTCGTTTGGTTGGTTGGATTAGCCATGATTAATTAAAATTTTGGACCTTGTTTGATGTTTGATTAGTCAAATTACTTTTTGGGATGGCCCGCAATTATGGAAAAAAAATGAGGTCTAATCTTGGAATATCGGGAGTTGTTTATTTAACCTCCTCTAGCCAATTACACGATTGGGTTCTGATTGGTTAATTTTATTTTGGCAACACAAACGAGGCCTAAATGAATATCAGTTGCCCCCACAATCTGTGATTAGTGCATTTTTAATGAATTAATTTAGATTATAATCTTAATGAAATTCAACTCTTGCATGTTGGCGCTGGATAGATTACATTGACTGCACTCGGGCAGATGTTTGAAGCTGCTCGGAGCATCATGAATTGGCTTGGAGATTGTGCTAAGGTGGGTTTTCTTTTAATATTTGTCTTTTTATTTCCTTTATCTCGATAAAAAATGAATATTTGATCGAATTTGTTCTTCCAATAATTGAATATTTCACATTAATTGAATAGATTATTGCATCGGAAAACGAGCCTGTGCGTTGGACAACTCCACTTGGACTCCCGGTGGTTCAGCCTTACCGTAAAGTAGGAAGACATCTTGTAAGTGTTGGAAACTTAGTTCATTTTTATTTTATTTTTTTCGATTTTTGCATTTTTTGTATTGTCGAAGCAACTGTATTATATTTTTTAGCATCTCTTCGATCTTTATTGCAGATTAAAACGTCTCTTCAGGTTTTGACTCTACAACGCGAGACGGATAAGGTAGCTTACACACTTTACGATTCCTTGAATTTTTTTTGTCTATTAAATCCTTCTCATCTATTTTCAGATTAATACTTTTCATTCCGAATTCTGAATGTTCAGTTTTCTGAATTTTCCATTTTTTAGGAACGGAATTGGAATACATATTAGATTCCGATTCTAATTTCCAAAAATTACACTTATATTATCAATATTATTATGTATTTTGCATTATACATGACCAAAAAATTGGAATTTCCGAATTCCATTGATTCCTATCCGAAAATTTTCGATTTTCCAATCTCGGAAATGATTACATTTATTCATCTTTCTGGTTGTTTCGGCATCTTCAAGCTAGTTTTCTAAAGAATTTAAAATTATTCCGATCAAACTTGCAGGTAATGGTTAAAAGGCAGAGAACGGCTTTTCCACCAAACTTCGTTCATTCGCTCGATGGTTCACATATGATGATGACCGCCATTGCATGCAGAAACGGAGGCTTGACTTTTGCAGGTCATTTTACCTCGTTTCAAATTTCTAACGTCTCGTAACTATAAATACTCAGACCTTCAATTTATTTATTATTATTTTTTTTTTATTCTTTTCTCTATCTAATTGCAGGCGTGCATGATTCGTACTGGACACACGCGTGCGATGTTGATGAAATGAGCAGGATATTAAGAGAGAAGTTTGTTGAACTATACGAAGCACCGATTCTAGAGAATGTAAATAAATCTCTAATCACTTCTTTTTTAGTCGGTTATTTCGTCTAACCAACAAAGCCTATTTCTTTCTAACTGGAAATACATCTTTTTATATATTCGGATTTATTGCATTCAGCACCCTTGTGTTTACTCTAATTGTAAAAAAACTCCCCGTGTTATTAATATTAGCACAACTCCCCTCTACAATTCAATTTTCTTAGCAAACTACCCCTGGAACAGGGATAGTATGCTAAAAAATGCACCACGGGTGTGTGTGTGATAATATTAATAACACGGGAGTTTATTTAGCAATTCGATATAACACATGGTACTGAATGCAATAAACTCCAAATATATATTTCCTTCTAAAGACTAATAATTTCGTATTTGAACAGTTGTTGGAGGGCTTTCAACAGTCTTTTCCTACGCTGACTTTCCCTCCTTTGCCCGATCGAGGAGACTTTGATCTTAGAGACGTGTTGGAATCTCCCTATTTCTTCAACTAATGGTGGGGTCCACTTCAGTTTTTCCGGGTTTTTTTTTTAATGTACATACAAGCGCTAGAGGGTCCGTTTTTATTTGATGCTATCACCACTATTTGGTTCATTCTTCATCTCCAAAAGCTGGAATTTCGTCCTTCTTGTACAGTTTTTATACAGAGAAATAGTACATCAAGCAATGGAGCTCGTTCGGTATTATGGCTGCCCCCCTGAGGGGTATAACTGTAAATTTTAGAACTGAAACAAGTTGTAGCCTTGAAGGACAGTGGAAGCTTCTAGAAGATGTTGTATATATGTTTTTTGTACTTGTGTGTCTGTTTCTAAAGTTCTATAGAATGTGCAATCTTGCCCTTGCAGCCCTGCAATCAAGAAACGTTAAACGGGTCGACCTTAAAAGGCATTTTCGCTCGTTTTATAGGAATGAAGCGATTAATTGCGCTGAGCACATAATCATATATTACGAGTGATTTATTATTTATATTAATTACTATTTTAAAAAAAAATTGTACATCTACAATACTTAAAGGTGTTATGAATGTATTGCAATAATGATTACCCATAAGCTTATTTTTACTGAGGTGGAATCTGGTACACAGATTGCATTTTCGATTCCAACATCAAAACATATTTGTCGAGCATAGAAATTACAGCTTCGAATTCTGTAACATGCTGCTCTATGGTATCGAGCTGCAGAACATATTCATCAAATGTGCTGCTTTTCGACTTCAATTGCTCCACAAATATTCTTAATCCCGATGCCACGTCACCAAAGCCTTTGTATTCTTCTGCTACTCTTATATTCATCTTCTCCAAAAGCTCGAGCACGTTATTAGTTCCCTAATATATTACGAAAATTCAAAGTTATAACAAATCCATAAACTATTGCACGGAAAATGCTGGAGGCCCAAAAATAAGAAAATGGATTACAAAAATACGAAAAATATAAAACAAGATGGCTTGGCCCGTATACTATAAATCTCTCAGTAAATGGAAAATACTTTGATGAAATATATCTTAAACTTCGGCCATATTTCTTCGGCTGCTAGTCCGATTGACTAAATTAGTAGTAACATGTTTGTTTGATAATGTTCAAACTAATTCGAGTCTGTAATAAGTTTAGTTACTAGAATACTATACAGGGTTTGACTATTCTTATAGGAATGTTAGTGAACATTCACATTTAGTACCGTGATTTTAACAATTTCGATTCTAAATCGAATATAATGAACCGATCATCTTACTAACTAACTAACTGAATAGTCGGTTAGTACAATTAAATCTAACCCAAATTAATCCAATTCATGCAAGCGAACAAAGCCTTCTATCTATTCATTTTCTCCCAACAACATATCACGAACTCAGTGGAGGAACAGATATACTTATTTTCTCCACAAAATGCAAGATATAGAAAATGTGCATTCGATACAAAAATGTTCGACAATGTAGAACTACTAGATAGCCTCATGCATTTAATTTTAGGGTAAGTTACGGCCACCTATCATGTTTGGGTAATTACAACCACCCATCAGCTATGAATACTTTTACACGTCCACCCTTATGGTGTCGAATTCTCAACATAATCTTCTATATTACGTGGAACGTTCTCTAGTTTGTACTCGTTTTGTACAAAAATGCAGATTTTGATGCACCGCAATTTGTTATTTATAAGCCAAGAGACACAACTTATGATCATTTTGTTTCAAAATGTGGAGCTGAAATGGGGTAAAACGGGTACAAACAGGAGATAATCTAGACGATTCTACTAAATTTGACACCGCATGGGTGGACGTGTAAGAAGATTCATAGTTGAGGACTGATTGTAATTACCCAAACAAGAGGGGTTTTATTGTAATTTGACCTTACTTCAGTGGGTGGCCGTAATTCACCCTTACTTTTATCGAGCCAAAAATAATAACCGAAGTAATGTTTTCACACACAGTTTCTGGTTACCTGGAGTTCGCCTTTGATCATGGCAGAGACGTTAGTGAAAAGATCATTAAGAGATTCAGCGAGTTGATCTTGCTCTGTCCCCTTCCCAGAAGCCATTATAAGACGGGGTTCGGATATATTCTAACAATTCTCTGTCATGGCATACAAAAACTGTTTATTTATCGCAAATAGTAAATTAAATTTTCTTGCTTTGATCTTTTCTTTTTAAAGTGAATCAAAAAAGCTTTCAATAACACGTCATGGAAAATATTTCGTATAACCAAGCATTGTCATCTAAATCATATTCTAAAGCCCATGAATAAACTTCATGAAAACTTCATATCGACACGAAAGGAGATAGTTTTAGCAGCAAACTTCATGAATTTATCGACTAAAATAAATAAATCAAAGATTGATATCATGGATATATGCATTGAAGAACTAAACATCGAACGTCTTGTAGAATCACAGCGCAGCTAAAATTTATCAAACGTCGAGAAGATTCGCCAAGATTAGACTTTTGCCTGTAATTTTTTTTAAATGAAGATCCGATAACGAAATTATAGAGATAGAAATTGACAGTGAATAATGCCATATAAGTCGAAAGACTATACAAACTTGCATTGTGGTTCGATTTTTATCAAAACCCCCTCGTTACTCGTTCTCAACCGTTTTTTTCTTCTCATGAATCGAAATATATGATCGTTCGTGCAATAAATCTATCTTACACGAAAGGATTTTTATTTTTTTAATTTACCAGAAAAAAACATTCATTTAGTTAAGCAGCTATTCTGCAGTATGTGATTTGCCTTTTAATCATTAAAACAGACAACACATTAAGCCCTAAACAATTTCAGATAAAACTTTTTTTTTTTAACAGAGACTTAAAATCTCCAAATAAGATTGCAATAAATTTCCAGATTCATAATAATATTTCAATTCAATTTTATCTCCACCGAACACAGACGCACACCACAAAGGATTATGAGTAATTAGCAACCAAATCACCGGAAAACATTCAATTAAACCAAACGCACGCTCGGACCAGTGGTGATGGCGGTGGTGTTACCTGTAGGGGCAGCTTCAGAAACTCCGTTCGAGCTAAGGACGGCGGCGGCGGCGACGGCGACGGCGACGGAGGAATGGCAGAACTCGTGAGCGTCTATAGTTTCGGTCCTTTATACTCGTGTTAGTGGTTTTATTTAATTGTGTTTTACTTTTTTGGTGCCACAATATAAAATTAAAATCCATCACCATAAGCAAATATATGATTTTATCATAACATAATTATGTAATTAAATTGAATGAAGTTCAATACATAAATTTTCAATAAATTCAAATAAAAACTCAATTGTTTTTTATTTATCTATTAATTATGGATTCACCTGAAAAATTATTGATCTTGTAAAATATTTAATTAAATAGTAATTATCAATTAATTTTATTGATTAAAAAATGAATTTTAGTTTTTTTTTTTCTTTCCAGTAACTATGAAAGTAAGGGTAAATTACGGTCAACCCCTAAGGTAAGATCAAATTGGCGCGTTTTTACAACCACCTTCTTCAACTATGAATCTTCTTACAAGTCAATTCTCATAGTGTTAAATTCACCGAAAAGTTCTAGATTGTGTGAAATAATTCCTAGCTTGTACTTGTGTTGCGCAAAAATGCAATTACTGATGTACCACAATATGATATTTACAAGTCAAAAGATACATCTTATCGTCGTCTTGTTCCAAAATGTATAGCTCGAATTGTGTAAAACAGGTACAATATGGAGAATATTTCATATTATGTAGAAGTATCTACTAAATTTAAATTTGATATCGCAAGAATAAATTTGTAAGAAGATTCATAATTCAAAGACATAGTTGTAATTATTCAAACACGGTTGACCGTAATTTACCAAACAATGTAAGGGTAAATTACAAACACCCCCCTGAGGTATGGTTAAATTACAAAAAATCTTGTTTGGATAATTACATCTACCCCTCAACTATGATTTTTTCTTAGACCTTCACCTTTATGGTGCAAAATTCAACATATTCATCTAGATTCCGTGAAATGTGCTCTAGTTTGTACTCTTTTTGTGTAAAAAATACAGTTTCCGATGCACCACAAACTGATATATACAAGCTAAAAATCACATATTATGATCATCTTGCTTTATAATGTAGAGTTTGAATAGGATAAAACGGGTACAAAAGTGATAATATTCCATATAATCTCGAAGATTCCACTAAATTTGAGGAGTTGAGGGGGTGGTTGTAATTATCCAAACAAGAGGGGTATTTTTGTAATTTGACCATACCTCAGGGGGTGTTTGTAATTTACCAAACAAAGTAATTAAGCCAAAATACAAATACACTAGTGCGGAATAAAAGAAAAAAACCTTTTTACACACCCGAAACTAATTTGCCCGAAATAGAAACGAAAACCCGACCCGGCCCGGTCACAGCACCATTGTTTGACCCGCATCTTCATTTGTCAAAAAAACAGCCGAGCGACAGCAAAACACAATAATAATAATAATAATAAATTAAAAATAAAAATTAAGGAAAAATCCATGTCGCCGTTGGCCTGAGAAGAAGCAAATCTCTGATGGAAGAAGAAGAAGAAGAAAGAGAGAGATGAAATTCAACAAGCCATTACTTCATTTCGCACAAGGTACTTTCTCCCAAAACCCTCGGATTTAACTGAATCAGCATCACTCAATAAACGATTGTGTATATATATGTATATATACATGTAATCTGTATGTATATACATGGGTGCGTATCTCATTATTCGAACGCAATGTTGGAGCACTGTTTGAATCAGATGATTCGACGCTTGCGTTTTTTTTTTTCTTTTTTTCAATGTTGATTGGGCGGAATTTGACAGCTTTATTCAATTGAGATCACGATAAAAAAGAAGAAGAAGAAGAAATCAATGCTAGGGTTGAGGTGAAAATTTGAAGTTTAAAGCTGTGTGTGTGTTATGTGATTTAACGGTTGAGAAGAAAAAAAGATGAAGGCTGGGAGTGCGGCGAAGCTGATTGTTGACGCACTGCTGCAGCGGTTCCTTCCTCTAGCTAGGCGTCGCATTGAAACAGCTCAAGTTCAAGTAAGATTCTTTTTTTTTTTTTTTATAATTTTTTTCTGTGTGTGTGTTTTTGTGTGTGAATGATGTAATGATTGGGCTATTTTGTTTTCCATACAGATAGTGAAATTTCATTTTGATTTAAATAACAGATTGTTACTATTATCGTTCTTTCACGAATTTGCCTGTGACGACGAATCGAATTATGAATTATGATATTGAGTGTAGAATCAATACCCATGTGTACAATATGCTGAAAAAAATGGCGAAAACGTGTCGATAATCGATAGTATTTTGTATTGCATTTATGGATGCTTGTATTAGATAGGATGTGTAAAATGAACGGAATGGATGAACTACACATGTGAGGAAATGATTGGGCAATTCTAAGAAAAAAAAATTCTATCCGGCAGTTAAAGGCAAGGACATTTTGGAGGTTTTTAGAACAATCACAGTCGCTTTTCATGACGTCAATTTGCGAAGCTTTTAACACGTGTCACTACCTTTTTCCTCAATGATTTTCACTTCTAACAATAAGCGATGTTTGCTAAATAATTCGTGTTGCAATTAACTGCAGGATGGGCAGTACCTTCGGCCATCAGATCCGGCTTATGAACAAGTACTAGATTCTTTAGCAATGGTGGCGCGACACACGCCTGTACCTTTATTAGAAGCTCTTTTACGATGGAGAGAAAGGTTTTTTCTCTTTCTATAATAATATTGCTTTTTATTAGCTAGTGAATGAGATAAACTATCTTCTTTATTTGGATTAATCATTGAAGGTCGTCCTTCCACTTTGTAATTATGCTCTCCCTTGGGATTTTATTCCTTGCAAAATATGCATGGAACGATACATTGGTAGGGTCATGTCATTGCTGATGAGTTATTGACTTTTATTTTCCCGAGATTTGATATTATTATTATTATTATTATTCATATTATATTATGTTGGTTTATTTGGTCTTACCTTTTTTAGTTTGTGGAGTAATTCGACGGAAAGCTTAACTTTTAGGGATAGGACTTGCTCTAAGTACGTAGGTAGAACAACCCCCAGTATTGGCGTACAATGATTGATGAACTTTCCCAGACTCCACCTCCATTATACTTTTTAGTTCAGTCATAGTTGCTAAATTTAGAATTTACTTCTAACTTGATTGTGACTACTGAAGAGTTAAGACTTCACCTACACTTGGCCTGTTTAATATAAAATCTCAACTGCATTAGGTTGATAAATGAGCATGGAGTAACGGTAGCATCAAGTATGGTGACTAACCAACAGAAAAAATACAAGTCAAAATTTTCTGCTTGGAGTTCATGTTAGCACATATATGATGATATCATATGTTATTCTCTCTTTGAATTTTCTTGTTGGTTGATTGGTGAGGTGACTTATCTTTTACAATTAGGACTTGTCTTCTTTCTCCTTGAAATTGAATACATGCTTAATTTTCAAATGAAGTTGTCCTTATGAATATTTTTTGGGTTACTATGCAGTGAGTCTCCAAAAGGTGCAAATGATGCATCAACATTTCAAAGAAAGGTTTGTCTCTCTGCAACCTGATGAATCATTAGCACTTGCACCATCTTCACCATTTCATCACTGGATGCAGTTGTTGATTTTTGTCTAGCTTGTTTTAATTTTATGTCAGTTAACTGCAACTTTTCGGTATGAAGATATTGTCACTAGGAAAATTTTAAGTCAATAGAAAGATGAAAGATTGGCTTTGTAGTGAATATGAAATGGTAGGCACGAAAACATTAGTAATATGATGAGTCCCATGATATGAAATGTAATTATTTGCATTTTTGTGGGCAGTGGGCTTGAAACACAGCCAGGGAACTAAAACTGTATTATGTGTCTAGTTTTTAGTATCCTAGCTTTAGTTAATATTGAAAAAGCTATGTTTTTAGACAATCCTCACAGAAGATGTGAGCAACTTTTACAATGATTAGGCTCGATAACATTAAAGATTAGATATTTGATAGTCTTGATACTGAAATAACTGGGATTGCAAGAAAAACAAATTGCTATTATGAAAAAACCATTTCATTGTTTTGCCATCTATTATAGCAATAGATTCAAACTAACTTGAGCTCCTTATGATGTTTCATTGTACAGCTCGCAGTGGAATGCATTTTTTGCTCAGCTTGTATTCGCTTTGTTGAGTGCTGCCCACAAGAAGGACTTACAGGTCTGTTCATGCTTTAGAGGTCTCCTGAATATTTAACTGGTCATATACAACCTAGTTCAACCCCCCCACCCCCACCCCCTCTCCCCCCCTCCCCCTTCCTCAATAATTTAACAAGGTGTCCTCTATTGGCAGAAAAACTTTGGATTGGGCTTGAAAATTTTGTCTTCGACTGGCTAATCAATGCAGACAGGTGAGATGACTTGATTCAATTTAAAAAAAAAAAGAATGCTGGTAGTAAACTACGGATTCTGATTGGTTACATTCCCGACATCTTTAACTGTTCTCTCTTCTATGATTAAAGTGCATGCATGTGTATAATGTTCTACTGTGGGATTCATATACTTTTTTGTTTGCAGAAAAAAATCTGCTATAGTATATAAAAATGTCATATAACGATGGATATGATATTGTTTAGCTGTTATTGTTCTTATTTTGGAAGTAGAAATTCACTATTTTCTCTTGGCAGGGTTGTTAGCCAAGTCGAATATCCTTCCCTTGTTGACTTGAGGGGACTTCTTCTGGACCTAGTTGCACAGCTACTTGGTGCTTTATCACGTATCAGGTAAGAAATAATTCAGTCATGTCAATTTCGGATCTTATTGTGTAACTATAAGGTTTGGGTTTATAAATTGTTGCACTGATGATAGCTTCTTCATTTCTGCACAAGTGACCACCTCTACTCTGTGATATCTTCTATGTAGTTGTTTTGAACTGCTTTCATATCTGAATAGCCAACTTCTAATGCTGGATGGTAATTATATTATTTAATGAAACATTGCCAAAAGGCTTAGCATGATTTCTATGATGAGATATATACAATCTTTCAGTTTCACCTTTTTAACATTTTCTTCATTAACATTACATTAGAGTCTTTCTAATACTATGCTTTGAAATTAGAATGGTACTGAAGCGTGCGTAAAGAGGATGAGATTTTTTATTTTTTTATGTTAATACGAGAGAAAGAAAGTGAAAGAAAAACTGCTCTCCACCTGCAAAATCACAATTTTCCTCTCCTTCATTTGATCCATCTTAATTTTCTTTGAACTCTATTTAAGCAAGGTTTGAAATTTAATAGGAAAATGCTCCTAATCTTGGATTTTTTTTCATCTATGTATTCCCATCTCTCCCCAAATTGAGCATACTTTTGACTTTAAGTATAGTTTAATAGGAAAATCCATTTGAAGCAAGGAATAAGTTCAGGGTTCCAGAGAAGAGCGAATAACATCCAACTAGTTTGCAACTTAGATTTCTTCATTTTTTTTTGCTTTGTTTTTGATGTGATTTGCAGCACCTTATACTATAGGTATACATATATGCTTGTTAAATGGTGAGAAGCAAAGGGGGCACGCGAATCTAAATGTATACGGCTTTTGGAACTCCTTATGAAGTCTTAGTTAATGGCATGATCAGCAACACTTGAATCATCTAAAATAAAATACTAAATGGATCTTTCTTGTGCAAGAGAAAATTCAGGATGAGCCAATAAAGACTAAGAAGGTTGGCTGCGGAATAAATTGAGCAGCGATCTCCATATAGAATAGAACTGCTATACTCTTTCAACTTTATGTAACAAATTTGAAAGATGCATTTGAGATATCAAGATTCAAGTGATCCAATATATCATTACTGTCAACTTACTGGAAAGTTTTGGCGTTAGTATCCAATGTTTGTAATTTCTTGTTACGTCTACGTTAATAAGTTTTAATGATGGATAACGTTCTTGGAAGTCTTTTCTTATATTAAACACTATGATGTGATTAAATATTTCCACACTTTTCTGTTTGACTGAACAGATTTAGTTCTGTGACTGAGCGCTTCTTCATGGAGCTCAATACTCGCCGAATCGATACCAGTGTTGCACGAAGTGAAACACTTAGCATTATCAATGGAATGCGCTACCTTAAACTTGGGGTACGAGTTAATAAAGTCATTGATTAAGTTATGAAAACATTTGCTTGACAAGGGGTTGATTTTCAGGTCAAAACAGAGGGTGGTCTGAATGCGTCAGCATCTTTTGTTGCAAAAGCAAATCCTCTTAATCGTTCTCCTCATAAGCGTAAAAGTGAACTTCACCATGCACTTTGCAACATGCTTTCAAATATACTAGCTCCACTTGCTGATGGTGGAAAAGGTCAGTGGCCTCCTTCTGGTGTTGAACCTGCACTCACCTTTTGGTATGAAGCTGTTGCGCGAATAAGGGGGCAGCTGATGTACTGGATGGACAAACAAAGTAAACATATAGCTGTAAGTTCCATATGGGGGTTAATGATCACATTTTTTTCTGCTTTATTTCATTTTGATGGGAAAAGAAAAAGCTTAATCGTTCTTAAGATTCTCGCTTCTAGGGGTCATTTTATCAATTTCTGTGATGTTTGACAGAAATTTGTAACATCATCAATATATTGCCTGGGTTTAGAATTTCGTCAGTCCTAGCTGTGGATCATAATATCTTTAGGCAGTTCTGTAATGAAAAAATAAAGATTTGATGCAGATATGCTTTATTCTTCCATTATATTGTATAAGTTCAGGCATTAGGGGGTATTAAAAATTTGAGTTAGTTTGTTGATGAATATACGAATCTGAATAGATATCCACTGCTTCTGTGGAGGAGCCATGGATTTTTCTCAATGAACTTGTGCATTAATATACATTGTTACATACTGTAAATTACTCAACGTGTCAACACCACATCTAGATTTACGAACAAAAAACACTACCCCGTAATGTTTTAATAGGTATACTTTGACATAGATGACATTTTGAAAGTGAAAATTCTATGAATTTTTATATTATTAATATAAAAAAGTTGCCGAGATTTATTGGTGTCTCATCATTACTTCGAGTAAGAAAAAGTTGCATTTCAGGAAACCTAGTTGTATGTGGGACGTTACAGAAAGGAAATAGAGTGATAAATTTGGGTCAGACAGGGTAAATGCTTTTATTCCATAAAGAACTAATATTTTCTGTTGGCATGCATCTGGTCTTTATCTGTATGCCAGACCTTGTTTATATTGGCATCCTATTTGGATATTCAGCTGATGTGAGTGTTTCTTTCTTTTCTAGGTTGGTTATCCTTTGGTGACTCTTCTTCTATGTCTGGGTGATCCTAATACTTTCCTCAACAATTTTGGTCCTCACATGGAACAATTATACAAGCATTTGCGTGTAAGTTTACTATTGTAATCTGTACTACTGTGACTTCTAACAAGCAAAATTTGAATGACTGCCACTTTTCCTTTAATGTTGTGTTAATGTGTAACTTTAAGCTGTCTCCAAATTTTCTATTAATATTTTGAATGTAATTCTATATTTCAGGATAAGAACCACCGCTTCATGGCCTTGGATTGTTTACATCGTGTTCTAAGGTTTTACCTGAGTGTCCACGGTGATGCACAGCCTCCCAATCGTGTATGGGATTACCTAGACAGTGTCACCTCTCAACTTCTGACAATTCTCAGGAAAGGAATGCTCACTCAGGATGTCCAACACGACAAACTTGTAGAATTCTGTGTGACTATTGCAGATCATAATCTTGATTTTGCGATGAATCATACTATACTGGAATTGCTGAAGCAAGATAGTCCAGAAGCAAAGGTTATTGGTCTTCGCGCTTTGCTTGCCATTGTTATGTCTCCTACTAGCCAGCATGTTGGCTTGGAAATTCTTCATGGTTATTATTTTTTTTATCTCTTAACTGGTGCTCTTTTTTGCTTTTGACCTTCTGAATATATATCTTAACTCAGCCTGTGCTGCATTGGCAGTTCATAATATTGGTCACTACATTCCTAAAGTCAAGGCTGCAATTGAAGCGATTTTGAGGTCTTGCCATAAAACTTACAGTCAGGCTCTTCTTACTTCTTCAAGGACTACAATTGGTAATATTTTACAGCTCTTGCAGTTTCTAGAACGAAACAATATCATATTGACATTTAACTTTGCATTTCATGGAAGCATTAGTTAGCAGGCAAATGTGTTTTGTTGCTACATTTGCATTTGATAACCTTTGAACAATTTGTACTGCCTTGTTGATTTCGTATGGAATATCTCTGCTATAATCAATTGTATCTTTTCATTTACTTGATTTATATGTTTATTTGACATATATTTGACTTATTAAATATCTGCTACCCAACCTTATGTAATGTAGACATCTAAAAAAACTTATTCTGCTTGATATGTTTTCTGAAATTTTCTGTAAAGTTACTTCAATATTATGCACAACCTGGATGTACAACTGAGAATAAGTTCTGCAGATGCTGTTACAAAAGAGAAGTCTCAAGGCTATCTTTTTCGCTCGGTGCTGAAGTGCATACCTTATTTGATTGAAGAAGTTGGCCGAAGTGATAAAATCACAGAAATAATTCCTCAGCATGGCATTAGTATAGATCCTGGGGTACGTGAGGAAGCCGTGCAGGTTCTGAATCGGATCGTGAGATACCTTCCCCATCGCCGCTTTGCAGTTATGAGAGGAATGGCGAATTTTATTCTACGTCTTCCAGATGAGTTCCCTCTTCTCATCCAGACATCGTTGGGTCGCCTTCTTGAGCTCATGCGTTTCTGGAGAGCCTGTCTATCTGACGATAAGATGGAACGCGAATTAAAGCGTTTACAGAGAATCGAGGGATTAAAGAGGTCATCATTTAAGCAAACTCCAGAGGCAATTGAATTTCGTTCTTCGGAGATAGATGCAGTTGGTCTTATATTCCTTAGTTCGGTTGATAGTCAGATTAGACATACTGCTCTGGAGTTGTTGCGATGTGTGCGCGCTTTAAGACATGATATACGAGAACTTTCAATGCAAGAGCGATCAGATCATATGAGAGCTGAAGCTGAACCAATATTTGTAATTGATGTTCTAGAAGAGAATGGGGTGGGTAATACATTATGGCTCATTTGTTGTCTTGTTATTCTGCTCCATTTTCATTCCTTCTCCGCTTTAAAGTGCGATATACAGGTTAAATTTACGAGGCACTGTTTTCTGCAGGATGATATTGTGCAGAGCTGTTACTGGGATTCTGGCCGTCCCTTTGATCTCAAACGAGAGTCTGATACTGTACCTCATGATGCAACACTCCAGTCTATACTATTTGAGAGTCCTGATAAGAATAGATGGGCTCGATGTCTTAGTGAGATTGTGAAATACACCGCCGAATTGTGTCCTAACTCTGTTCAGGAGGCAAAGTGAGTACATCTATAGTAACTAAGCATCCGTTTTATTGGTACTGAATTCTTATGGGAAGCAGTGTCAACTAAGTTTAGAAGGATTGAATAAACAAACCAGCCTTGGTTTATATTGTTAATAAAATGATATAAGCCGTCTTTTCAGATCCTCAGTGTTCATCTCCCTTTGAAAAATTGACTTTCGTATATAAACAGAAGAAAGGGGCTCAAGATTTATCGTTTATATTGCAGATTAGAGGTTATCCAACGTCTTGCTCATATTACACCGTCCGAGTTGGGTGGAAAGTCTCATCAGTCGCAGGACACAGACAATAAGCTGGATCAGTGGCTCATGTATGCAATGTTTGCCTGCTCATGTCCACCTGATAGTCGTGAAGGTGGGGGTACAGCAGCAACGAAAGAACTATTCCATCTGATTTTTCCTTCGCTGAAATCTGGTTCTGAATCACATGTAGTAAGTAATTGCTGCCTGCCAACACTCTTTTCAATACGTCACTCTGGATCTAAGTCCTGATATCTTGTTTTTCCTCAGTTAAGAACTCCTTTTTTGAAGTGGTTTTAGATGATTTTAGAACCACATGACGTAGTCAGCAGTATGCAATATGTATACGACTATCATCATAAGCTCATAGCTAACTAAAATAATAATATATGTGTCAAATTTAAACCTGGGGCTGATTAAATTTGGAGTATGAACCCACAGCTTTTTCCACAGTTTCAACTGCTCCCAGTTTCCAATTTCTTGTTGTAACATAGAAAGCCAGCATCTCAATTTAGGTATACTTGAAAATTTGCTATAATTATCCATTCCTTCAATATAAGCTATAAAAGCCAATGATTGTTGACAAATCCTTGAGAAACACTTTTTGAAAAATGATTTGTAATTAATGAGTAATCAACTCAAATGGGAATTCCAATTATAGACTACTTTTTCCTTTTATTTTAGCATTTTAAGGAAAAAAGGTATGAATTTCCATTTGTATGCGTTGTCCTATCGAATTTTTAACTATTTGAGGCACAATGACAAATATATGCTTGGTATGCAGTTTCTTGTCTAGTCTAGGGTGTTTTGCTAGTTCAAAGTTTCAAATTTGTAGATACGATGGTCTATGGTGTGCCTCTATTTAAAGTTAAAGGGTTTCACTAATTTGCTCGGCATTTTGTGCTAAGAATGATATCATATACAAACTCTCACTCGGTTTAATCTCCAATCAATCTATTTTTTCCACTTCATGACTAAACTTAGAAAAGAGGATAAACAATTACATGTTTTTTACCTATAGTATGCTCCTCCTGCAGCATGCAGCTACCATGGCGCTTGGTCACTCACATCTGGATATATGCGAAGTAATGTTCAGTGAGCTTACTTCTTTTATAGATGAGGTTTCTATGGAAACAGAAGGCAAACCAAAGTGGAAGGTATATTTCATTATTAAATACAACCGAAGATATTGTTTAGATTTTCCGTCAACCTCTTAGTTCCTCTCTATTTTCCCCTTCTCCATATATCAAACTCTTTGCTTATCTTTTTTGCTTTTGACCTGAGGAGGCACCCTTGGGGGTTGAATAATTCTTTGCTTATCTTTTTTGCTTTTGACCTGAGGAGGCACCCTTGGGGGTTGAATAATTCTTTTTCTAAAAGGAGTTGCATCTGCCACTGAGTTTATTTTTTTCTTTTTCTTTTTGTGCTTCGTCATCTTTTAAATATATACTAAAGAGAGGATCCTTTTGGCATTCTTCGACCCATCTTTTGCCCATTTGGCTGTCATGTTATTTTCATGATAATGCTAATACTTATCAGTTGTTATCATTTTATCTGAATAGTGCTAGGAAGAAGAGATCTACGTATTTCGCATTAAACTCAGCTATATTTAGGCAAATATAGAATCGACATTGCATTTATTTCCTTCTTGTTTACTTTCTGCTATAGTTGAATAGTCATTTTCGGATCCAATGAGATTAAGTACTAATGGTATTCATGCAGAGTCAAAAGTCTCGCCGTGAAGAACTCCGTAGCCACATTGCAAATATATACCGGACAGTTGCTGAAAAAATATGGCCTGGAATGCTAGGCCGCAAACCAGTTTTTCGCCTTCATTACTTGAAGTTCATCGAAGAAACAACCAGACAGATTATGGCAGCAACTGCAGAGAGTTTTCAGGAGATGCAACCTCTCCGATACTCCCTTGCTTCTGTTCTAAGATTTTTGGCTCCTGAATTTGTTGATTCAAAGTCGGAGAAATTTGATATCAGAACTCGAAAGAGACTTTTCGATCTCCTCCTTACCTGGGGTGATGATACAGGCAGTACATGGAATCAGGACGGTGTAATTGATTATCGGCGTGAAGTTGAACGTTACAAGTCTAGTCAGCATTCACGGTCAAAAGACTCTGTTGATAAACTTTCATTTGATAAAGAATTGAGTGAACAGGTCGAAGCAATCCAATGGGCCGCCATGAACGCAATGGCCTCTCTGTTATACGGCCCTTGCTTTGATGACAATGCAAGAAAGATGAGTGGCCGTGTAATTTCTTGGATAAATAGCCTCTTTATTGAGCCTGCACCCAGGGCACCTTTTGGATTTTCACCAGCTGATCCTAGAACTCCATCTTATTCCAAATATACTGGAGACGGTGGGCGAGGAGTAACTGGCCGTGATAGGAGAGGTGGTCACCATCGAGTTTCTCTAGCAAAACTGGCTCTAAAGAATCTCCTCCTCACTAATTTGGATTTATTTCCTGCCTGCATTGATCAGGTAATCATGAAATACTGTATTGTACGAAAGCCATCAGTTTGTACATTTTTAAATACTGTCAATAAAGCATGTTATTATGTTGAACCATGTCGTGAACACGAAAAGTTAAATGTACATGTTTCGAAGTAGCATGAATAGGGTCATCACTCAATCAAATGTTTGAATTAGTAAATAATACATGCATGTTATGCTTTTCATTGTTTTTCATTTATACTTATCGCATTTGATGCCAATATCTCGTATATACATCTTTTTTTAGTAATGGCTGACTAAGTTTATGTCATATCTAGCAAAAATTGGTAGAATGAGAACTTCTTAGTGAGGCTTTGATGAAAAACATTTTGTGTTCATGTGTTTGCTGCCACATGAAGTACATTCTTTTCTTTCTCAGTTATCTGCTTCTGGTTATTGATTATTTTGCTCTAGAATGACTAATATACATAATTATGAATGACAGTGCTATTATTCTGATGCTGCAATAGCTGATGGCTACTTCAGCGTGTTGGCTGAAGTCTACATGCGTCAAGAGATACCCAAATGTGAAATTCAGAGGCTATTAAGTCTGATCCTTTACAAAGTGGTCGATCCATCCAGACAAATTCGTGATGATGCTCTTCAAATGCTCGAGACACTTTCCGTTCGTGAATGGGCTGAGGATGGTGCTGAGTGCTCAGGAAGCTATCGAGCTGCTGTTGTTGGCAACCTTCCCGACTCTTACCAACAGTTTCAGTACAAACTCTCTTGCAAACTTGCCAAAGATCATCCAGAACTGAGCCAACTTCTTTGCGAAGAGATCATGCAGAGGCAACTCGATGCAGTGGACATAATCGCACAGCACCAAGTCTTAACATGCATGGCTCCATGGATTGAGAATCTCAATTTCTGGAAACTGAAGGATTCCGGTTGGAGCGAAAGATTGTTGAAAAGTCTTTATTACGTGACGTGGCGCCACGGGGATCAGTTCCCCGACGAGATCGAGAAGCTATGGAGCACCATAGCTAGCAAGCCTAGGAACATAAGCCCCGTTCTTGATTTCTTGATCACTAAAGGAATCGAAGACTGCGATTCGAACGCATCGGCAGAAATAAGTGGAGCATTCGCCACGTACTTCTCGGTTGCCAAGAGGGTTAGTTTGTATCTAGCTCGAATCTGCCCACAACGTACAATCGACCACTTAGTTTACCAATTGGCTCTACGGATGCTCGAAGATACTGTGGAGCCACTGAGACCTGGTGCTAATAAAGGTGATGCCGTGGGAGGCATCGTCTTGGAATTCTCTCAGGCTCCTGCAGTGACTCAAATCACCTCTGTTGTGGACAGCCAGCCTCACATGTCTCCTTTACTCGTACGTGGTTCGCTCGATGGACCACTAAGGAACACAAGTGGAAGCCTGAGCTGGAGAACATCTGCTGTTGGTGGAAGAAGTGCTTCAGGCCCGTTGACTCCTATGGCTGCAGAACTTAATATTGTTCCTGTAACCGCCGGTCGGTCCGGTCAACTTCTGCCTGCATTAGTCAACATGTCGGGCCCACTAATGGGGGTACGTAGTTCAACTGGAAGCTTGAGAAGTCGCCACCTGTCACGAGACAGTGGGGATTACCTCATCGACACTCCGAATTCTGGTGAAGATGGATTGCTTTCAGGGTTCGGGACCCACGGTGTCAATGCCAAAGAGCTCCAGTCGGCTCTACAGGGCCATCAGCAACACACGCTGACGCAAGCGGACATTGCGTTGATTTTACTAGCTGAAATCGCCTATGAAAATGACGAGGATTTTAGAGAGCATTTGCCTTTGCTCTTTCACGTAACGTTCGTCTCGATGGACAGTTCGGAGGATATTGTGTTGGAACACTGCCAGCACTTGCTCGTTAATCTGCTTTATTCGCTCGCGGGCCGCCACTTGGAGCTCTACGATGTTGAGAATAGTGACGGGGAGAACAGGCAGCAGGTTGTGAGCCTTATCAAATACGTCCAGTCGAAGAGAGGCAGCATGATGTGGGAGAATGAAGACCCTACAGTTATCAGAACAGAGCTTCCAAGTGCTGCACTCTTATCCGCCCTCGTACAGAGCATGGTGGATGCCATCTTTTTCCAAGGAGATCTCCGGGAAACTTGGGGTGCAGAGGCTCTCAAATGGGCTATGGAATGTACGTCGCGACACCTGGCGTGCCGGTCCCACCAAATATACCGTGCCTTACGGCCACGTGTTACTAACGACGCATGCGTATCTCTATTGCGGTGCATGCATAGGTGCCTCGGTAATCCAGTACCTTCGGTTTTGGGTTTTGTTATGGAAATCTTGTTGACTCTGCAGGTGATGGTGGAGAATATGGAGCCGGAAAAAGTAATACTTTACCCCCAGCTTTTCTGGGGGTGTGTTGCAATGATGCACACCGACTTCATTCACGTGTACTGTCAGGTGCTCGAGCTTTTCTCTCGTGTGATCGATCGCTCCTCATTTAGAGACACCACAACAGAAAACGTGCTTCTATCAAGCATGCCGCGTGACGATATCGACACAAACGCGTCAGACAGTTCCGAATTTCACCGCATAGAGTCGAGGAACCTCTCTCTAGTGTCACCCTCACTATCTGCAAAGGTGCCCCCATTCGAAGGGGTGCAGCCTCTCGTTCTCAAGGGGCTCATGTCCACCGTAAGCCACGGTGTCTCCATCGAGGTCCTCTCTCGAATAACGGTCCCTTCTTGCGATTCGATATTCGGCGATGCGGAAACACGTCTCTTGATGCATATTACAGGATTACTCCCCTGGCTCTGCCTGCAGCTGGGCCAGGACACATCAGCAGGAGTGGGAGTCACTTCACCGCTCTACCAGAAAGCCTGCACAGTAGCAAACAACATCGCCGTTTGGTGCCGAGCAAAATCATTGGACGAGCTATCCACCGTTTTCATGGCTTACTCATCCGGAGAAATCAAAGGCATCGAAAATCTCCTCGCTTGTGTTTCTCCGTTATTGTGCAACGAGTGGTTCCCGAAGCACTCTACTCTTGCCTTCGGCCATCTGTTAAGGCTTCTCGAGAAAGGTCCCGTCGAATATCAACGTGTTATTCTTCTCATGCTGAAGGCTCTGCTTCAGCACACTCCAGTGGATTCTGCACAGAGCCCTCATATGTACGCGATTGTCTCACAGCTGGTCGAGAGCACACTGTGCTGGGAGGCTCTTAGTGTTCTAGAAGCACTCTTGCAAAGCTGCAGCCCTTTGCCTGGGTCCCACCCGCACGATCAGGGCCCGTTCGAGAATGGATTCGACGACAAGTTTCTTGCTCCACAAACCTCCTTTAAAGCCCGAAGCGGGCCTTTGCAGTTTGCAGGGGTCTTAGGGTTTGGGCAGGGTTTTACCAATTATGGGCAAACGAATACGAACGAATCCGGGATTTCGCCCAAGGAGTTGGCACTGCAGAATACTCGTTTGATGCTTGGGCGAGTTCTTGATGGTTGCGCACTCGGTAGAAGGAGAGATTACAGAAGGCTCGTTCCTTTCGTAACCACCATAGGGAATCCATAGTGCATGCATGCCTGCCCAGTGGTGGTGTGAGTGTAAATAGATAAAAATTTTATTTTAGATTTTATAGTAATTGTTATCTGATGTAAGTTTGATTGAGTTTTGTTTGTAGCTATGAATGTTGAGTCACTAGTTTTTGTGAAAACATTGTTTTTTTGATAGTTTTTTAGAGTTGTGTAATCTCATTTGTTTGTATGGATACTACACATTGCATTCAGATGGCTGGAATGAGATGTACATATAGATTTATCCTGGGTTGGATTATGTTCTAACTATATATAGTTTTGGTGATGGTCCTTGTTGGTTGATTGGTTCCGCGGTTAGTGACTTTTCGACTTTCGAGGTTGTTTCTTTGAAATTGAGTCGTTGTGTTATGTGCAGGGGTGGAAATCAGATCGATCCAATCGTAATTAACACTTGCACAAAAGAAATCCATTTTTTTTTCTTGGAAGTTTTTTCACTTATTCCAGATATGTTCCGATTTTTAATGTCATGTTTTAGTTCGTCGCACAACACATTCTTCGTCTCGTTACAAGTGCATATATATATACACGCATACGCATATATCGGTAATTACAAATGCCCCCTCAACTATTGCTCCGTGTGACAATTACACCGATACGACTAACGGAATCTTGAAGATTCCATAGAAATATTCGATATGAATTTCCAAATCCACCCCAAATGTTACATTTTGTCTTACTTCAAGGGTGTACCCGTAATTTGACAACAAATTTTTTGTTTAATAAATAGATAATTTAGACAATTATTCATTCTGTTACTCTGGTAGTTTTAGGTACGACATTTGTAATTACCAATGCTATAGCGATTTGTAAGTTATTTAGACTTAAACGAGGAGGGCATCTGTAATTTGTAATTTACCCATTTTTTAATGGGACAAAATTATAATTAGTTTTTTACTTGAAAAAAAAATATGAATTCCTCCAAACGTGTTAGTTCCAATCCATCCATCCATCCAATTTTATTATAATAACACAACATGATTTTAAAATTGCCAATAATGAAAAAATATATACATTTAAAATTAAGAAAAAGTTGAAAAGGTTGTCATTTTCTTATTGGTTATGTGGTGGGGTATACGAGTAGCAATATTATTGTTTTCTTTACACAATTAAGAAAAAGAAAAAAAAAAAAAAAAAAAAAAAAGCAGCCTCTTTTTTTTTTTTTTTTTTCTATCTTTTTAGCACAAACAAATTAGTGTCCCTCTAGAAAAGAAACCCTTTGGAGAAATTATGGCCTTAGCTCTTGCGAGTGGTTGTGTTTCAATTTTTTGTTATAGATATTTTCTCAAAGGGTGGGGACTCAAAATTATTATTGCCTCAATCATTTCTTGTTTTGAATATGTCACTCTTTTTTTTTTTTTTTTTGACTTTTTAATAATAATTAAATAAACACCACTAATATACAAAAATACTAAGTAGATATACACATACAAAAACAATTTAAGTACGAAGATCGAGCTAAATTCCCGATTAACTTAATTGGTGAAGTAAGAGAGCGAAAAGTGAAACATAGATCGAAATTGTCACCTATGAATTATGGTTGTTTGTAGTTAACATCTCTCATGCGATTTAATTTACATGTTACTGCACCAGGGTTAAGATTTACCTAGTGTAGTAGCTAGTGCGCCGATATAATTGACTGTTTATTCTGTTTTTATTTAAGAAAAAGTATGAAAGGGTGAACTATATTTCCTTCTTAAACCTTTCTTCCAAACCCTAATTTTCTTATGTTTTTTCTTGAATCCGTTGTTTCAATTCTTTATAAACTTACATAGGGATGAAAGTCGGATGAATCGGATCGGAATAAGTCTTTTGGGAAAATTTCTAAAAAAATTCGGAAGTACAAAATCAATTCCAATTCCAATTCCAAAATTTTCGGAATCTAAAAATTCATTCAAATTCCAAAAGGCCCGGAAATTTTGGAAAATCGGAAAAAATCGGAAATCACATAAGCTTTAAAATTTCAAAACTTAGTCGAAATTTTCTAAAATGTCCATAATTTTTCAAAAATAAGAACATCCACGTCGATAAAAGTTAAACTAATTACTACAAAATTTCAGTTCAAAAAAATAAATAAAAATAAACACAACATAATATCCAATAAAACTTGTAACAACAATTCATTATGTCAAAATCCTAAGAGAAAACTTATAGGTGTATTTTTCGGAAAATAAATATTATATAATATATATTATTTATACGTGTATTTTTCGGAAAAAAATTTGGAATTAAATCGGATCGGAAATCCGAAATTCCAAATTTATTTTATATAATTCCAATTCCAATCCAAAAAAAAACGGAAAAATTCGGAAATCAGAATTTCGGAAGTCGGAATGAAAAAAGTTGTTACAAAATCGGAACTTTTCGGATTGGAACCGGCGGAAATTGGAAATTCCGTTCCAACTTGCACCCCTAAACTTACATATACGAGTTTCGTTCAACTAACTCTTGAAGTGGACGATCTTCTTCACGGTTCGTCTATACACTCTCAAAATAGATATTCTAGACCAAAACAAAACGATAACAATAATTGTCTTCCATGATGTATTATTTTGTTCCAAAATGTCGAGATAGAACTCACAATACTTTAGTTAAACTCTATGGTTTATTACACCGCAACACATTGCAGAGATCGATTATTGAAATTAAGAATAATCAAATACTCGAGTAACGTCTCTTTCCCAAGATTATATATCTCATTATATAAAATGATTTTATTCTTATCGTATCAAACAAATATTTGCCCAAAATTGTGATCATTGCAATATCCGATCGCATGAATTAAAATCGAAATGTTAAAAAAAAAAAAAAAAAAAAAAAAAAGAAAAAAGATTGCCAATGTACAAGGAAAAGGGTGCATATCATCTCAAATTATGAAAGCCTAGCGCAACTTTTTAGCACGTCCTATTTATAAATCCTTTCATGTAGTATATATGTTTTATCATCGTAATCTCAATCACACATATTTATTTCGATCAACTCTGTCAGATTTTTGTACATTTTTTTCTTTTGCAATGGGACAAATTTCTCACATTTCTGAAAATGACATCTATTTTAATGATGGTGCATTCTCTCTCTCTCTCTCTCTCTCTCTCTCTCTCTCTCTCTCTCTCTCTCTCTCTCTCTCTCTCTCTCTCTCTCTCTCTCTCTCTCTCTCTCTAATTATATTTGTTAATAAAAACTCTCCCTATTATTTTTTATTAGTATAAAATCCCCTATAATTCAATTTGTTTAACAAACCCTCTCTAAAAAATCACCCTTTAGAGGATTTTATGCTTAAAAAATGTATACTAGAAGGAATTTTATCAATATCTATATATAACTAGGGAATTTCTTTATAAGCAATTTCAAATAAAATGTAAATTTATAAATTTACTTTACAATTCACTTTAAAAAAATCGACACGCGTCGAAAATCAACAGTACCTACATAGAACAAATGATATATATACACACAAAACTTTATAACACAAAGGAACAAATTAACTAGAAATAAAATAAAATAAAACAAAAAACAACATATATAAAGATGTATCAAATTAAAATGTAATTTTGGTAACACCAATTTAAGTAGAAGAAAAGTAGTGCCCATTTGCTTTAAACAACCAAACACCTTTTGGAATCCCACTAACACCAATACAAACTTATCACAATTCACACCTACGTACAAAATCACACACTCCATGTATTAATATTTAATAATTAGTTCAACAAAAGTTGTAATTATTTCAAATGCAAGCACCCAACATTATATTATTAATCTTCTAATTAATACTATATTCATTGCACCAAAATGGCAATGCTTTTAGTTAACCAAAGTCTTATTTAATAATAATAATAATAATAATATATAATAATAGGTGTTGTGCTGATGATGAGCTTATCCAGTCTTAACCAATCTCTTGAACCTCATTTTGAAATAAAATAATTATATATATATATATATATATATATATATATATATATATATATATATATATATATGATTTAATTAATTATATTCTTAAATAAAGACCCTTGGTTTAGGACCATAATTAAATAATCAAATATTGTATGTGCCTCTTCGATCCATGGATATTCACTTGTTTCTTGTTCATTAAAAAAAAGTGATAAATCAAGATATAATTATGGGATCCTCTAAAATATGTTCAAGAAATGGAAGACATTTCTTTAGTTTGTAGGAACTATATACTACTACTACTACTACTACTACTAATAATAATAATACGATTAATTTTTAGATATAATAATTTAAGGATATTGATTAAAAATGATTTTAATCATTTTACAAATGAATATTCAAGAAAAAAGGCTACTATATATAGTGTTTCTAATAATTTAAGAGGACATATAAATCAAATTTTTTTTATTTTTTTTGGAGAGAATACAAATCAAAATTCAAATATGATAAAAGACAGTAAACAATAATGATTTAAACTAAAGTTCATTTTGGGTTATTCAATGGATAATGGGTACTATATATTTATACATAAAGTTCCAAGAAGTATTATATGTAGTAAATATTTATTATGGCATATAAAACAATTCCCAAAATACACACACACATATATACAAAAGAGAATTCAGACAAAAAAAAAAAGAGCTAAAACACATGATTGTAGTGTGGAAATCATTTACCTATTACCTTCCCTAAAAGAAAAGCTTTTTGTGTGTAGGTTACATAAATGAGTGGGCTGCACAAATGGCTTTGAATTATATGGTTCCACAAAATTTAGAGCCCCATTATAGTTAACACTTTTCACCACCTAAATAAAAGGGTGTACCTCCATTAATATGTAACTAAGATAAAAACTCATTTGCTTATGTTTATAGCTTTATTTAGTTACATTAACTTTTGTGGAGTATAACTAATTAGTTGAATAAATCAAGTTTATTATGTTTATTGATCTCAATTGCATTTAAATAGGATATTATCTCAATTTCTTCTTTTAAAATATTTTTTTTTTCATAATAAAAAGAAATTATGACTTCAATATACTTTGATGATATAGGGGTGTTTGGCTAAGGTGTTATAAAGAGCTTATAAGCTCTTTCAAACTGTTTCGTAAAATTTATAAAAAGAAATTTAATAATTCAAGAAATAAGCTGCTGAAAAGCAACTAAGATATTTTCTTTTTTTATGTAAGATTTCATAATAATGAGTAAAACTAGCTTATAAGCTTATTATCTAAATTTTTTTAAAAAATTAATTATAAAAATTAGACGTAACAACTTATCGGCTTTTAAAACAGATTATCAGATGTATAATAAAATATAGATGCATGTGGTCGACACATGTTGTTGAGGTGACATGGAGGGGGGCGGAGTGGGGGAATTGGTTCACCCGGCACACGCATGCGGGCTTGCTAGATATGGCCCACCATGCATTTTTCATTATGCCAACCTTAATTCCCCTTTGAATTTATTTTCTCTCTCTCACCCCCCTAATAATAATTTAAGTAATAAATAAAATATAAAAATAAAAAAGTAAAAAGAAAAAGAAAATGCTCTTTACGGTTTAACAATTGCTATTTACCGTTCAAAGCAAAAAACAGTTTATCTCTCTAAAACCCCTAAAATTCTAAACTCTCTCCAAAACCACCCCATTCCAAAATTTTCAGAAATTTTTTTTTCTTTTCGAAAAATATCGAATTCAACCAATTTCATTGCTTGGGCTTAGATTTTTTCAGGTAATTTCAACACCTACATGTGTTATATGCAATGGGTAACTCGATTTTACAACCAATTTCATGTTTAAAAGCCCTACAAATCGATTTGTAGGGCTTTTAAAATTTTCGAAAATAATGCACGAACGCCCAAGTCGGGCGCCGGATGCCTGAACAGACGCCCAAAGTGGGCGTCCGTTCAGGCGACCGGCGCCCGACTTGGGCGTGTACTCACTTTTTGGACGCCCGGTTTGGGCTTTTCACGGGCGAACCGGCGCCCGGTCCAGGCGTTGGTTCGGCCGGGAAAAGCCCAAACCGGGCGTTCGATATAAATTTTTTTTTTTTTTTTCTGATTTAAAATAAATATTTTTTTTTCTGGATTAAAATAAGTTAGTAAATTTAATATAATTTAGTTAATTAAATGTAATTAAAATAATTTTTATGTTTACAGGATGTCTAATTGGGTGAAAAAATTCGGACTGGAAAAAGGGAAATGACCCCTGATTCGTCCTCGTGCAGATCCGGTGGAGGAGACTACTGCAGAACGGGAGGGGATGACACATAATAGAAATGTTACCAGTTCTAAACGTCGTGGGGAACGCACTGGTGCTTTCCGGTGCCGGATTTAGGCGTTTAGAAACTGATAAATTTTATTACTCTTTTCGGTGCCGGATTTAGACAAAATTTATGTTTAATAAAATATGTTGTTCAGAACCTGATTTCCGTTATTATTATTATTATTATTATTATTATTATTATTATTATTATTATTATTATTATTATTATTATTATTATTATTAGAACATAATATAATAATAATAATAACATACTAACATTCATTATAACATCATAAATAATAATAACATACAATGTCAATAGTAATACATTCATTCCAATAAAATAAAAAACTAAATCAAACACTAGTTAGAATGATTATGCTTCCCGTATATTGGAAAATGATTATGCTTCCCGTATACTAATCTGACCTCCCATCTATCGTCTGACCGTAGCTCTCCGACAATTTGAAAACCACAGTTTTTTCTTTTTGCTACCAGTCCTTCTCGGGGGCGCGTCTGGGTTAGTTGATGGACATTCTCGTTTCTCCCCGTATAGGTCACAAGTCAGAAAAATCTTTTTTTGAGAACAACTTTTTTTTACCATTTTCAAAAAAAACCTCTTACAACGAACCTCGCCCAAACCACTACCTCATCCTTCGAATCAAACAACTGAGTTGTTGTAAAATAATCGGTATGATCAACTTCAATTATAGACGTATCGTCCTGAAAAAAACGTAAAAAATTGATTAAAAAAAAAATGTTTAAAAGCCAAAAGCCCAACTCGGGCGCCCAACGGTGCAGTGCACGCCCATGTTGGGCGTG